TTACTGAGACCTCCAGAGTTGTTTTATTATATTATAGATTGTTAAAGGCGACAGGACAGTCACACATCAGTCTACAGAGCTGAGTCCACCCAGTCGTGGATTTATCAGTGAGCTGCTGCTTAAGGAACCTCAATCCTTCAAGCCACTTACCAAAAACATAGGTTTTCATTTCTAACTACTAACTACTGTACAACTTATTATTATTTTAATTGATAGTCAATATTTGAATTAGACTAAATGTCTAACATCATCTTAGAAACACCGCACTCTCCTGTGTCTATTTTTTGTTTTTCATTTTTGTACAGTACGTGTCAGAATGACAGGGCAGGAAGTGTAAAACCTGTCACGAATAAGCAGATGGACACCTAATACAGGTTTGTGTTTTATTTTAAGGAATGTACAGTGAGTATTATGACTTTGACATGTTTCCTTGAAGGAGGCTCTGTCAGGTCTCATCTCTTTTAGACGGCAGACAAGTAAGTGTACGTGTGAGTTTAACACTCGAGGCTTCAAGCGCACCTCCGTCAAGTCAACCACATGAATATAATTTTGACAAGTAAAATGTCTGGAAGGAATGAACACAGTGTCTAGACGTATGTAGAGTTATCATCTGGCAGTGAGTGACACATTTCACTTTCAAAAAGAGGAATTTTCTGAATTGTACCTTTGCACAAACACGCTTTTACGCACACACAAAAAAAGTCGATCACATGTCAACCTCCCGACCCGGCCTCCCACTTAATGAGCCTGGAGCATAAACGGATAGGAATTATGTTTGACATGATAGCAACGGGCCTTTTTGTGTGAATGGGACCCACAATAACAACAACAACCTTCTCTGAGACGAGGACGAAAAAATAATCATTTGCCCTCTTCTACTCCGACAAAAGAGCCCGCGTGTAGGTGCCATTTGTTATGTCCCACTCATGGCGGCTCATAAAAAAACCAGTAAGTCTCTGTAGCAGGGATTGGAAGGGACAATACACACACTTCATTACATTTTGTCAAAAGGCGCAACTAAATGTGTGTGGGACATTGTTTCTGTGCATGTTTTCCTCCGTGGAATTCCTGATCGCCGATGTTGCTACAAGGTCTCCACTAATGAGTTTTGTCAAAGACAATTACAGACTTGGTGGAATGGCCGGAGGAGGGAGAAAATGCTGGCTTTGTGTGATTTGGCTAGATGTTTGTTGTGTGACCCCTGGTTCCCTCCATAGCCCATGTTTGACCTGTACAATCAGTTCACAAAAACCCGGGCCTCAGTTCTGTACTCAGATCTTCTTGTGGATCTGAGATTTAAGGTGGACTGGGGTCCTACAAATGACAATGGTCACTTTTCCCAGTCCAAAGTTCA